GCGTTAGTTGGATGGGGTGGTGGGGCCCTGGTGAGGGTAGTGGTGGGACACGGTGGCATGGCTGCCGTGGGCATGGCAGTGGGCAGGGAAGCACACAGCGATGTGGCAGTGGGCACTGGAGGGATGTGGCCCTGGGGGTGGAGGAGGGTTGTGGGGCTGCAGCTGTGGGCAGCAGAGGACTACAGGCTGTGAGCGGGGAAAAGGTACGGCGCCGTGGCCATGGGTAGAGGGATATGGGCGTGCAGCCGAGTGCAGGAGAGGGACGTGCTGTCATGTCATGGTGGAGGGGGGGACACGGCACTGTGGTCCTGGGCATCGTGGCCAAGGGCAGTGACAGGCCATGGCACTGTGACCACGGGCAGCAGCGGGACCCTGCAGGGACTCTTTGCCCCCAGGTACGCCATGAAGTGTTTGGACAAGAAACGCATCAAGATGAAGCAGGGCGAGACCCTGGCCCTCAACGAGCGCATCATGTTGTCCCTCGTCAGCACCGGGGTGAGGCACTGGGCAGGGCTGGCTCCCTGGGCATGGGGATGGAGCGGGCATCCTGGGCACAGGCCATGGCATGGGCACGGGGAGGATCTGCTGGTGAGGGAAGGGTGTTCCTGGGGTGACCGTTGGCACTGTGCAAGTCCGTCTCTCCTGTGTCAGGACTGCCCGTTCATCGTGTGCATGTCGTATGCCTTCCACACGCCCGACAAGCTCAGCTTCATCCTCGACCTCATGAACGGTGAGAGACTCCCAGCTCTGGTCCTGAGAGACCCCGTGGCTGACCCTAGTCCCTGCTGCCGTGGCTGATCCCCGTCCCCAGGGCCATGGCTGCCCTGGTCCCTAGGGCTGTGGCCAACCTGATCCCCAGGCTCGGAGCCCCCTGCCTGCACTATGCCCAGGTCGTGGAGGGCAGCGCTGGGGTGACGTCTAGGTCCCTCTCGCTGCAGGGGGGGACCTGCACTATCACCTGTCTCAGCACGGCGTCTTCTCGGAGGCGGAGATGCGGTTCTATGCAGCCGAGATCATCCTGGGCCTGGAGCACATGCACAGCCGCTTTGTGGTGTATCGTGATCTCAAGGTGACCCCATGGGCACCCACGGACTCTGTGGGCATCCCCAGACACCCTGCGGGTACCCACATACCCTATTGGCACTCATGGACCCCATGAGTAATCCCAGGTGCTACAGGCATTCACAGACCCTGCAGGCAACCCCAGGCTCTACTGACACTCCCAGACCCTGTAGGAGCCCCCCAGACCCTGTGGGTACCCATGCACCCTGGGGGCACCCACAGGCCTGCAGGAACTCTCAGAGCCTACAGGCACTTCCTGAACCCCATGGGCATCCCCCGGTGTCCCGAGAACATGCAGGTACCCCCAAACACCGCAGGCACCTCCGATCCTGCAGGAACTCCCCAGGCCTCGTGGGCACCCCATGGACCCCATAGGTGTCCCGAGGCCGCACGGGCACTCACAGACGCTGCAGGCAGTTCCAGGCCCCGCAGACACCTCAGGCCTATGGGCACCCCCAAATCCCGCAGAGCACCAGCACCCCAGCTCAACCCACATGGGCACCTCCTGCCTTGCTCCCACCATTCCCACGGGCAGTGCTTGGGCTCAGGGATGGCACGGTGTCTCGGCAGCCAGCGAACATCCTTCTGGATGAGTTTGGGCACGTCCGTATCTCAGACCTGGGCCTGGCCTGCGATTTCTCCAAGAAGAAGCCCCATGCCAGTGTGTAAGTGTGCCCCTAGCCTGCCCTGGCCAGCCCTGCCTGGCTGGCGTCGTCCCTGAACCCTCCCTGTGTCCCCACAGGGGCACCCACGGGTACATGGCTCCGGAGGTGCTGCAGAAAGGAGTGGCGTATGACAGCAGCGCCGACTGGTTCTCGCTGGGCTGCATGCTCTTCAAACTGCTCCGAGGGTGAGTGCACGGGCACAGCGGGGCACGGGGTGGCCAGGGGGCCAGCACCCCGCTGACCTCCCCTCTCCCCTCGCGGCGGCAGGCACAGCCCCTTCCGGCAGCACAAGACGAAGGACAAGCATGAGATTGACCGTATGACCCTCACCATGGTGAGTCTGGGCGTGCAGGGCAGGTGGCCTGGCGCTGCCCTGGCATCTGCCCCCACCATGCCAGGGAGGCACGAGTGGCGCAGCGTGCCACGGCCTCTCCCCACAAGTGCCGGGGCAAGCTGGGGCTGGCAGACACAGACGGCCTGGGCACCCTTGCGCCACTGTGCCTTTGCCCCCCGCCCGGTGCCAGCAGAGGCCTGCAGGGCACGGGGGAATGGGCACAGCTTGGGGCAGGGGGGGCCCTGACGATGGGCAGTGCCCGGATGTGGCGAGTGTGGGAGGGTGTGCTCCTGCCGCTTCTGTGTGTGGACGGAAGGATGCAGGCGCCTGGGCATCTGCACATGGGGCGGTGTTTACACACATGTATGCGTATGCGTGTGTGCGTGATGGGGGAGGTTGCACGCAGAGGTGTGTTTGCCAGTGTCTGTGTGTCTGTCCATGCACACATCTGTGTAGTGGACGTTAGCACATGTGTGTGCCTCTGAGCGCTTGTGTGGCTGGAGTGTGTGTGCAGATCCATGTGTACGTGCTTGCATGTGACTTGAGTGTGCACATATACACAGTGCACACATGCCTGACTGCATGTGCGTGCATTGGTGTGTGCGTTACAGTGCACAAACACGTGTAGGTCTCTGCACATGTATCTGTGTGTGTGTACACCTTTATGTGCATGGCAGCGCATGCATCCTGTGCGTGTACATGTTTGTGCCAGTGTGTCTTTGTGAGCACACGTGTGTGTACCCCGTGTGTATCTCTGTACCCATGTGCACAAGTGCCTTGGTGGTCATATGCCTGTGCACGTGCATGTGTGCACTGCCCTGCGTGCATCCCTGCGCATGCAAAAACCCATACGTGTGCACGTTCCCTGCCGCCCCGCCAGTGCCGGGGAGCCCTGCCAGGCGCGGTGTCAACGCAGTAACCATGCCCTCACCTGCAGGCCGTGGAGCTGCCTGACTCCTTCTCCCCCGAGCTACGCTCCTTGCTTGAAGGGCTGCTGCAGCGAGATGTCAACCGGCGGCTGGGCTGCATGGGACATGGGTGAGTCCCGGCAGGCATAGGGACGGGTGCCGGGGACAGTGTCTGCGCATGAGAACAGGGCTGGGGGCAGAAGCCTGGCAGGGAGGGAGGGCGGTGCGGGTAGGCTACAGCCTGGTATCTCTGGGCCACCCCATCCTGGCACCGCAGGGAGCCCGCCAGCGCTCACTGCCCTCGCTCGCTTCCCAGGGCTCAAGAGGTGAAGGAAGAGCTGTTCTTCAAGGGCCTGGACTGGCAGATGGTTTTCCTTCAGAAGGTGAGGGGCACCGTGCCAGGGCACGGCAAGGGCTACGGGGGCACGGGCAGCCACCGCTCTAATGCCGCCTCTCCTACCGGCAGTACCCACCACCTCTGATCCCGCCCCGAGGAGAGGTGAACGCGGCTGATGCCTTCGACATTGGCTCCTTCGATGAGGAGGACACGAAGGGCATCAAGGTACTGGGGGCAAAGGGGCAGGGCTGGCACAGCAGGAACAGGGCCAGGGGCTGGTGAGCTTGTGTCTCACCCGGCGGTGCCCGCCTGTGTGCCAGCTGCTGGAGAGTGACCAGGAGCTGTACCGCAACTTCCCGCTCACCATCTCGGAGCGGTGGCAGCAGGAGGTGACAGAGACTGTCTTCGAAGCCGTCAACGCTGACACCGACAAGCTGGAGGCTCGCAAGAAAGCCAAGAACAAGCAGCTGGGTCATGAGGAAGGTGAGCAGGGCTGGGTGCCCCCTGAACTCCCCTGGCATCTCTGCCAGCCCCTCGCAGCCCCCTCACTCTCCCAGCGCT